GGGGGCGGTGCTGGCGCTGCTGCTGCAGTTGGTGATGGGGTGGGGGTGGGCAGTGAGCTCCCTTTCGTGAGCGCCACCAGAACTCGTCTTAATGTCAGGGTCAGGCCAGAGGACACACTAGGCGGGATATTTTTAGAAAGGAAGGTGTGTGGCCGATATCTGCTTGGCGGCCGGTCTGGCTAGGAGGGGGAGAGAGGGAAGAGAAGAGGAGGAGGGAAGAGGCAACCAGGGTGACATCCACCCGCACGCCCCTCCCGCCCAGCTGGCCCATGACTATTTAGGCAAAAGGCCACGTGGAGCTATTTCCATCCGGGGGAACAGGTGCTGGGCGGGAGGGGGAGGGCTTGCCCCCACCCCGCGGGCCACGCTGCCAATAGGCCGCGTGTCACCTCCCTCGTGGCGGCCTCCGGGCTGCCGGGGCCTATAAAGGCGCCAGGTTTTCTCAATGAAGCTGGGACGCAGCGCGGCGTTGGACCCAGCGGGGAGCCGGCGATTCCACACGGCAGACAGCGCGATCCCCGCCGCCCCTCCGCGTGGAAATGAAGTGCATCGTGGGCATCGGAGGGTGAGCGGCCTGGCGGCCTCGCGGGGCCAAAGGCGCGGAGGAGCCACGGGGGGGGGAGGCGAGGCTGAGGCCGCGGGATGAACCGAGGGCTGCCTGGGGCCTGGGGTCCCCCGAGTGCCGCCCAAGGTCTGAGTGTGGGGAGGGGCCTGTGCGCTCCGAGGCTGGGCGCCCCCAGCGGGCTGCGCCGGAGGCCCAATTTTAAATTTCCAAATGGAAATCGCTTTTCCCCACTATACTCAGTGTAAAATCAAAAATCAGTGGGGAGAGAAGACTTTATGAAGCTCAGGCAGACCCTCCTAATAGTCTGGGGCCATCTTGGCGGGAAGGTGGGAGGAGATGCCCTAGCCAGAGTCAGACACGTGGGCAGTGGGGCGGCCCCCAGAGTGGCATTCGGGTGGCACTGTGTGCAGCACCTGCCAGTCAGGGGCCTCCCTTCCCAGAAGGATTCAAAGTCTCCATTTTATTTCCAATAACCAGGCCTTTTAAGATGATGCTAGGGAAGCATTTCACCTAAGTAGGGTGGGCTTGGGGACAGAAACTTTCTACCCACTTGGTTTAAAAGAAAATTTAATTGGCTCTAGCTGGTTTGGTTCAGTGGTTAGAGCCTCCACCCATGAACTGAAGGTTCCGGGGCATGTGCAGGAGGCAGCCAATTGATGCTTCTCTCCCCCCCTTCCACTCTCTCTGAAAAGCAATGGGGAAAAAATATCCTCGGGTGAGGATTAAAAAAAGTTTCAGTTGATTTTTAGAGAAAGGAAGGAGAAACACCAATATGTTGTTCCACTTGTTTATGTGTGCTTTGGTTAATTCTTGTATGTGACCTGACCAGGAATTGAACCTATAACCAATAATGCTCTAACCAACTGAGCTACCTGGCCAGGGCCCTCTTCCACTTTCTCTGCTACCACCCAGTTGAAATTACTAATATATTTGAAGGATGGCCCCTACATTTCATTTTGTGCCAGGCCCTACAAATTCTGCAGCCACCTTGAGTGCAAGGTGTGCCTTTTAGTAACTACCCAAATTAATGTCAGAGCTGTTCTAAACTGCTCTCCCTTAATATATGGGGGTCCCCTTTCCCTTCGGCCCTTTTAATCAGCTCCAGCTTTCCCCTCTTCCACATCTGGCTTTCTGCCCCAGATTCCTAGAACAGGGACAACAAGGTCACAGGGACACTGTTTTCCAGAAAGGCCTTTCAGATACCCTTCTATGTCCTTTGTCAGCCCCAAGGAGTCGAGATTCTTGTTCCCAGTGCCACAGGGTGACCCCCCCCATCCTGGTTTATCTGGCACTGAAGGGTCCCCAGGATTCGAGAATTTCAGTGCTAAATGCAGAGACATCCTCGGCAAACCAGGGCAAGCTGGTCATCCTATTCTGACAATTGTTGTTTTTTCTTTTTTCCTTTTTTTGGCTTTTCTTGGTTACAACCAGGTCATAAAATTGAGTGCCTCTTTTAGTTTTACAGTGAACTACTGTTTTTTCTATTGCAAATATTTTTTCTCCCCAAATTGCACTTGTTTTAACATTTTGACCTTCAAAAAACTAAACAAATAAAAGCCCCACTAGGGCTAAATCATGCTTGGATCTCAGTTTCTTCATCTATAAAAATGAGCTCCTGGCCTCACCTCCTGGGTTTGCCCAGGAAATGACACGAAATGAGTCTCAGCTCTCAGGGTGGCCGTAGCCAGCCAAGACTATGTTAGCTATTTCTTATCACAGTTTCTGCCCTTTATCTCTGCTTAAAAAGCCTCCTGTGGCCCTAGGCAAATAACAATATCCTTTTAGCTCTAAGGTTTTACAGTTCTGTGTTTATATTTGAGTCTGATTCTGGGGGCCCCTCAGATGCGGCCAGGCAGCTCATGCATACGATATCTCCACAGTATGACCAACGGCGGCAAGACTACGCTGACCAACAGCCTTCTCAAGGTGCTGCCCAACTGCTGTGTGATCCACCAGGATGACTTTTTCAAGGTGGCGCCCTCACTGGGGATCGGGGGGAGCTGGCCCATGCTACCCTGCCCTCTGCTGCCCACTGCCCGTGTGGGCCAGGCACAGACTGCTCCCAGGCCTCCCTGGGCCTGGAGAGCAAGGGATAAGCATTCTCATTTACTGAGCAGTTATTATGTACCTGGCACATTCTCACTGGACACCTGTTCCCCATTGGACTGATGGGGACACTGCAGTTCCCAAAAGGAGTGTGCCACCAGACCAGTGCCATTGTGGCCTTCCAGGCCCTTTCTCCCTCTGTACCTCCACTTTCCCATCTGCAAAATGGGCTCTGAGACTACCCTGAATGCTTTGTTGAGGGTGAGGAGTAATGAGATGATGGATGCAAAGTCCCCTTCCTCCTTGTCCCAAGAGTCATGGGGCAGGGGAGGGGAGGAGTATCCCAGTGCCAGCCTGAACCCCACCCAGCACCTCAAAGTCTGTAAGCATCAACTGCAGAGGGTCAGGGCAGGCAGCCCCGCCAGACTCTGGGCCCCTCACTGTGGGCTCTCCAGGAGCCGAGGGGCCCATCAAGATTCTGTCAGCCCAGGGTGGTGGTGAGGTGGGAAGGCGGGCACTGAGCCCGGGGTTCGGGCTCCTCTGTTTCAGCCCCAAGACCAAATCGCAGTTGGGGAGGACGGCTTCAAGCAGTGGGATGGTAAGGATGGCTGGCGGCCCCGCGCCCCCTGCCTGCACTGCCCCTCTTCCCCCGACTCTGCCAACACCTGCTCTACCTGCCCCCAGTGCTGGAGTCCCTGGACATGGAAGCCATGCTGAGCACCGTGCAGGCCTGGGTGAGCAACCCCCAGAAGTTCGCCCGTGCCCACGGGGTCAGCATCCAACCGAACACTGTGGACACCCACATCCTCATTCTGGAGGGCTTCCTGCTCTACAGCTACAAGTGAGTGAGAGCAGGTTCACACCCAGACCGTCTGAGCCCTCCCAGGGGCTGGGGGCAGAATTGGCCTTAGCTCAGTTTCCCCCAATTCTTGGGGAAACTCAGTCCTCCTTCTAGAACTCACCCCTCTCAGGCAGAGCAGGAGGCTCGGCTGGACTCCTGGCCTCACTGTTTGGCCCTGGCTAAGACATAGCACCTCTCTTGGCCCATCCTAACTGGGAGCTGCTATGGGGATGTTCCTGGGCATAGCAGGAGACTGGCTGATGCTTGTCCCCTCCCTGACCCCTACACTAACCAGCCAAGACCCCCGCCCTCATCACCCAGGAAAGTCCCTGGAGACCTATGGGGCTGTGTACCTTTGACCCCGTGAAGAAAGGCCCATGGCGCTGACCATGTCCTCCATCCCTGCCAGGCCCCTGGTGGACTTATACAGCCGACGGTATTTCCTGACTGTCCCCTACGAAGAGTGCAAGTGGAGGAGGAGGTGAGCCTGGAGGCCCTGTCTGGATTCCCAGGTGGGACCAGGAAACCACTGATGCCCACTGGACAGAGGCTGCCCTGAAACCGCAGGTTGGCAGCCAGCAGGCCCTTGGCTGGCCTGTGCTCATTCCAGAAGTCCCAGCCAGGGACTGAAGGCATGGCCCACCCCTGCACTGCCCTAGGCATCTACCAGGCTCAGGGGGTGAAAATGCCAGAAGCTGGGGCACCCAGACCCCAGCCAATGGCCCCTGACTCAGTGGTACTATCCCTGAACTTGTTCACATCCCCCAGGCTCTGCTCATGGTGCCACCCTTGGGCAACATGGGCATCCCTCATTCTTGACAATCTCTCTCCCCAGTACTCGAAGCTACAAGGTCCCCGATCCCCCCGGCCTCTTTGATGGCCATGTGTGGCCCATGTACCAGAAGTATAAGCAAGAGATGGAGGCCAACGGCGTGGAAGTAGGTAAGGCCCTGAGTAGGATGAGGCCGGGTGCTGGGGGGACCCTGAGCCCAGCCCCTCCCCATGGGGACCATTTGGGAAACCTAGAAGTCCCTCCTCAGCCTCACTGCCAGTCGCTCTTGCTTTGGACCCCAGAGGCCATTCTATTCCAGCGACCTGTTTCTGCAGGTTGGCTTCCTCCTAACCCAGCAGTCCACCCGTCTCCTTGTGCACTGGCCGCCTGCCTCCGGGCAGCAGCCCGGTGGCCCCGCAGTTTCACCCCTGACTATGGCCATTCTGATTTCAGTGTACCTGGACGGCATGAAGTCCCGTGAGGAGCTCTTCCACCAGGTCCTGGAAGACATTCAGAACTCACTCCTGAACCACTCCTAGTGTGACTGGGGGAGGAGGGTCTTGACCTTGGACTGGAGAGACCCACATACAATTCCGGCCACTGTACGGCCAGGCTGGTGGCGTCCCAGCAAGACACTGCACGACCATTTCCCTTTGTGGATGTCTGTACATATGAGAGTGGAAGCCCCACTCACAGCTCAGCATCTCAGGGCCCTGGAATCCTGCCCTGAGATGCTTCTGTAACCTCACAGCAGCTTAAGTATTAAACTTGATCCTATTTTTTTAACCATTGGGGTTCAGCCTATTGTATTTGAGGCACCGAAAAGGACCCTCCTATCCCCTCCCCTTGGTTCATTGGTGGCCTCTGGGCGTGGCACTGAGAGCTCTGGGCAGTTAGTCTCCACCTGTTGGACCCATACCAACATGACCCCAGGGGCTGCTTGGGCTCCTTGTGGCCTCAGTTTCCCCAGAGGGGAAATTTCCTGCCAGCTTTCAACAGGTGGCACAGCATAGCCCAGAGCAGGGGCTGGGAAGTCAGCCAAGCCTGAGTGTGCCCCAGCTCTTGGCTGAGCCTGGCCCCCTACTACACCCCCTACACCTTCTCTGTGGTTGGAAGTGATACCTACTGTGTAGGGTTATTGGGAAGATTTCATGACCCAGGATGCTCATAAAGGACATACTTTCTGTCCCAGGAATCATATCAACCAGAGCCCTCCCCAAAACCTCAGTGAGACAGTTTATTATTTATACCCATTTTGAGGATGGGGAGACTGAGGCTCAGAGATAGTTGGTGGCTTGGCAGAGCTGGGATTTGAACCTTGGTCTCCCTAGACCCTGTCCCCTTTGCTCAAGGGAGTCTGGAAAGTACAGTAGAGACCAGAACCCTGGGGAGGGTGGAGACAGGGTACCCCTTGACCTGAAGGTGATGTATCATGGCCACCTGTGGACCTATAGCTTCCCACCCCACTCAATCCAGAACAGCATGAAAAACCTGCAGTCCAGACAGGTTGGGACAAAGCCAGTGAACATTTGGAAATTATGGAGGGGAAAAAAGAAAGAACCAATTACCATATAATGCAGCAATTCCACTCATACAAATATACCCAAAAGAATTTAAAACAGATGTTCAAACAAATACTTGTACATGAATGTTCACAGGAGCATTATACACAGTAGCCAAAAGGTGGAAGCAACCCAAGTGTCCATGGATGGATGAATAAACACAACATGATTTATCATACAAAGGAATCTTACTCAGCCATGAAAAGGAGGGAAGCTCTGACACTCACTATAGCATGGATGCTCCGTGAGAGAAGCCAGGCACACACGGCCACACTGTGATTCCATTTATGTGAAATGTCCAGGACAGGAAAATCCACAGAGACAGGGAGTGGATTTGTGATTGCCAAGGGCTGGGGGAAGAGAATAGGGAATGATTGCTGATGGGGATGGAGTTTCTTTTGAGGGTGATGAGAAGGTTCTGGAATTGGATAGAGGTGGTGGTTGCACAACGTAAATGCACTAAATGCCACTGAGCTGTTTACTTAAAAATGGTTAATTTTAGCCTGGCCCACATGGCTCAGTGGTTGAGCATTGACCCATGAACCAGGAGGTCACGGTTTGATTCCCGGTCGGGGCACATGCCTGGGTTGTGGGCTGGATACGCAGTAGGGGGCGTGCGGGAGGCAGCAGATCAATGACTCTCTCATCATTGATGTTTCTCTCTCTCCCTGTCCCTCTCCCTTCTTCTCTCTGAAATCAATGAAAACATATATTTTTAAAAAATGGTTATGTTCTGGGG